TCTGTATATGGAAATGTGATGATTGAGTCATGGAAAATACCGGAAAAGCCCTGGAATTTGACATCATGATCACAGTGGACAGTCTTGTAACTACACCGCTGTTCTTATCTCTCTCTGCAGTGATCTTTCGTCCAATCAGCTGTCATCTCTTCCTCTGAATGGTCTGCAGAGTGTAACCCACTTGCGACTGGCTGGAAACGATCAGCTGATGGAGCTCATACCTCAAGAAGACCTGCCCCGAGTCAGGTAAACACACACTCACAGATACATTGCCAACACAGTCATTCCAGTTTTTATTAACATATCAACAGTTTTTCTTAATTAATGAACTCAGTTTCTAGGAGACAGGGTTCAAAATGAAACATCAAAGATTAAGACAGATGAAAAACCTATGTGCAGGGTGATGGAGCTTCCTTACGCCTTCCAGTGCTGTGCCTTCATCTCCTGTGAGAGGCGAGGAGGAGGTTTGTCCTGGGAGAGAGAGGAGGCAGCAGAATCTGCTGGGAGAGACACCATCATCCTCTCCAGCCAAGGTGCACTCTCACATCATCATCATCATCATCTAAATCACGACTAAAGTGACTTTCAGACAGCTACCATTACCTTGCAGTATGTTCCTTCTAACACAAAAACTTCAGTTCTTTTTTATTGCATTTTCTAAAAATAAGCAAAGAATGGTAAATGGTAAATGGACTGTATTTTATATAGCGCTTTCTCACAGTGTGTTGCACTGGCCAAAGCGCTTTACAGAGATGATACACCATTCACCCATTCACACACAACATTCACACACTGATGACGACAAGCTGCCATGCACCGGCGCTAGTCAAGCCACCAGGAGCAATTCGGGGTTCAGTGTCTTGCTCAGGGACACTTAGGCATGCGGGGAGACCGGGAGTCGAACCACCAACTTGCTGGTCAGGAGACGACTGCCCTACCTCATGAGCCACAGCCACCCCAAAATAGGTAATAAGGCTGGAAACCCTTGGGTGGGATGACAGACAATCTGGCAGAGCGCAGGTGGAAATGGACAGCTATACTTTATATACCGTGGATTAAATGGAGGATGTGGAATGGGTGAATGGTGAGGAGTCAGGTGGCTGGGGTTACTGCAGGGCAGGTGGAAGCAGCAGTACAGAATGAATGATTAACTACCTTTATTTCAGCAGTTGTTACAGTCTTGTTGAGTAATATGATAGAGCTCCTGCTGCTTTCGTGAAATATATTTGGCTGTGACACTCTTCCTGTGTGGCTTTTTATTGTTATGCACATCATATTGATCCACTTATTGAAATATGAGATGAAGATGCTGAAGGTTCTCCTCAGATTTCTGTGCAGCCCTACACTGATAAATTACTTTTGAACAGTGACAAGGTTTTTAATCAGTTCCACCTTTTCGGTCTCACTACCACCAGCTTTGTACATACTGTACCATTTCAGGTCTTTCCAACAGATATACTGAAAACTAGAGTCGTATTGCACCCGTGAAAGTGTGAGGAAGGTGATATTTCAAAGTCTTTGACACCCAGCTGTCTGTGCTGTGTCCCTGCAGTCGATCAGGACTGGGAGGATTTTCTGATGGAGTTTGAAGATGAACCAAAGCCTCAACACTCTGTCCACTGCAGCCCTGCACCAGGTAACACACATGCACACACAAAAATGTTGGTATTAAAACTGCTGTCAGTTTATTAGGTACATCTAGTTCAAACTAAGTCAGTCTAACCCAATAGTCCTGCAGTAAATCCTCCTTCATGAAGGCGATGATGTTCAGTTTGTGTCCAAACTGTTTCACAGAGGTGTTGGTTCAACTGTGTGTTCACTGTGGAGGCTGCAGGTTGTGCTGCTGTTCAACTGGACTCAATCAAATTGTCTACAAATGTTTTCTTTTTGTAAAGCACTTCAGTAAGCATTTGTTATTTTTAAATGTACTATAAATACTATAAATTCTTGACTAAATACTTATTACTTGAATTGACTTACAGGGAGCAATACACATTAATCAACATAGACATATGTTGATTAATTAATTAATTTCTTTATTAATAGGAAAGAAAATTGATAATTCCATTAAATATCCTCCAGGACCATTCCGCCCTTGCCTCCATCTACTCAGCAGCTGGTTGATCCGTGTGGGGGTGTGGCTTATCGCAACACTGTCATTGGTCAGCAACAGCCTGGTTGTCCTGTCAGTCTTCTTCTCCCCAGCCACTTCACTGACGCCATCCAAGCTGCTGATTGGCCTGCTAGCCCTGGTGAACGGTCTGATGGGAGTGTGGTGCAGCTGGCTGGCAGCAATGGATGCCTGGACGTTCGGTAGCTTCTGGAGGTATGAAACAATGGTGATTTCGGGGACAGTTGGAGGACAGGGGACTCCTACAATTTTGGGGGACTTTGAGGATTGTGGGGACTCTGGGAACTGTGAGGACTTGTTTAATACTATCAGTTCTAGTGACTGGGAATTTTGCGGACCCTGGTAACAATGGGCTCATGGAACTTAGGACTGTGTGGATTGAAAGGAGTCTGTTGAATATGAGGAATCTGGGGATTGTGGGGGCTGTTGGTACTGTGGTTTATAGGGACTTTGTAGCAGCAGTTAGAAAGCTGCAAACAAACTGGGACCCTAGAAAAACCTAAAATTCTTAAAAATAATGAAATTACAGAATAAAGTATTATAAACATTGTCAAAAGTTGTACACTGTTCTAAAGATGAAGTCAATGATTTGGGGATATGAATACACTGTTTTGCCATCTTTCAAATTGGCTCAGCTTGGCTTAGCATTAAGTGTGGAAACAGCTAACCTGACTTCAGAGGTGAAGAATACACCCTTAAATCTCTAAAATTAACTAATTATGTTTGTCGGTACTTTAACACACAAGTTACAAACAATAATGAGTAAAATTAAGGAACAAAAAGGCAACAGAAATATAAAATTAATGTGGTTTTAAGGAAAGTTACATACTTCAAAAAGGTTTTAGGAAAATAAAAGCAGGGCACAGGGACTTAATGACGATGCACAAATGTGCTTGTGATGGATAAACTTTTGTTCATCGGCAAATAATTCCAACACCAGACTCCCATAAAAGCACAACTTTCTCTTTGAAGGAGAATCTTTAAAATAAAAATCCCATATGTAAAGCAAGAGAAATTCCTGGACATCTTGGTGTGTTTGTGTGTTGCAGGTATGGGGCAAAGTGGGAGAACAGCTTCCTGTGTCGACTCAGCGGCTTCCTGTGTGTGTTTGCATCACAGACCGGCCTCTTTCTGCTCACTGTCGCAGCTCTGGAGCGATGCTTGGCCAACGCCGCTCACTGCAAAACTGATGGGCACGCTGGTGAGGAGTACGCACATCTTCAGAGACATGTTTTTTTTTTGTCTTCTTACAAATGTTACAACAAACACAAGCAAAAAGAAAAGGTGTAAACACAGTGAGCTATATGTAACACAGACAGAATCAAGCTGTATAAAAGACAAATAGTCATAAAATGTAACAAAAGGACAAAAACACACATATTTGATTGGCAAATAGGATTTGAAAAATCTGTATTTTCCCCTCAAATTGTTTGATTTCTTTCTTGTCTCTTCAGGTCGCACCTTGTCACCACTCTCCGTCCGCCTGTCTGTCCTTGTGTGTTTCTTGTTGGGCTTGGCCGTTACATTGCCCCCCCTGGTGGCCAGTCACAGCAGTACCTCCCTCTGTTTGCCACTGCCTTCCTCTTCCTCCTCATCCTTCCTGGCTTTCTCCGTCTCCCTGGTGCTCCTCAACTTGCTGTGTTTCCTTCTCATGACGCTTGCCTACACTCGCCTCTACTGTCGTGCCAGCAAAGCTCCGCCCGCCTCAGAGGAGGAGGCAGCGTTGACTCGACATGTAGCCTGGCTGCTCTTCTCTGACTGCCTCCTCTACCTCCCAGTGGCCTTCCTCTCCTTCTCCTCCCTGCTGCGCCTCCCTGCCACTGGGCCAGAGGCAGCAAAGGGAGTGCTGCTGCTTGTAGCACCACTGCCTGCCTGCATTAACCCACTGCTCTACCTCCTCTTCAACCCGCTCCCCAGGGAGGAGCTGGCAGCGCTGGTCAAATGTACCCGTGGGCCTGTGGTGGTGCAAAGGCTTCACAGGACAGGAGAAGGAGGCAGTGCTGGAGGAACATCTGAGCTGAGCACACTGGATTCAACATATGATGAGGATGCAGAGAAACAGTCATGCAACTCAACACAGGCCCTGGTGGCGGTTGGAGGCATAAAAGAAGATGAGGAGGATGAGAGAGGAAGAGGAAGGAGTGAAACACAGCATTCAGTGGCTTTTGTTGTTCCACGTCACTAGACTGACAGACAAAACACACACAAATACATATCCAGGGTTTGAGGGGGTCACGTGACATACGCCAAACAACAAAAGAAGTGAAACATGTGCACCTCAGCTGGGTCAAACCACAGCAGACAAGAGTTAAACCTAAAGAAGTTACAACTCAAACATAAATATAACAAGCAGCTACAGATGCAATTCTAGCCCCGTGTGCTTCTTCATTAGCTGATGAGGGTAAGCAGTTGGCGTCGCTAATACCAAATATTACATATCCTATTACAGTAATTAAGTAATTCTGACCTGCTTCATAACATTTATTTCATCATTTTTTTGCCACTGAGAGGGAAAATTGCAATTGAGGCTGTTTTATTCAGACGTTAAGGAGAAACCTGCTTCACAAAGGTTTGTGATGTGGATGAACAATAGCGTTGCACCTAATCTACACACAATAATTACACATAGGTGCACAAAAGACATGAAAACAGCACATGAGCCATGATAAAACAAAATCCTGAAAATGTCCTTGTCAGTCATGTTACGGAGTCACACATATGATGAGATGTTAGATTTTAATTAAACATGATGAATTTCTTGTATTATTAACTGTAGCATTAGAACTGCTAATGGTTAAATCCAGCTGCTGTGGCTGTGATGTCACCTCTCCTACAGTAGATGAGAGTCTCGTGTCTGTTTCCACAACGTCAGTCAATCCAAACCCGTTGTTTCTCAACAAGTACTGGTCAGATTTCCATGGCATTGAATGTGGATGCATCCTTTACATTTTAATGACCCCACAACCATTCATCCAGCGCCACCATCAGGACAAACATGGTATGTTTAGCTTCGTGACCTTGTGGCTGTATTGGATAATGCAGTCTGTCGGGGCTTCACCAGGCTTTTATCAGGTGAAAGACTTCATTTTGGACACCACACACACAAACACAATACACAGGAGATGGGACTGTGTGGCAGCAAATGAAGCAGAGGAAGAAAACTGCACACACACCGCCCCTTTCTCACTTCTGTCTTGTTGTTTATGCTTGTCTCTCTGTCATTTTTAACTTTTTTTGTGCTAAAAACTGTCCAGTAAGTCTGAAGAAGTGATGACTGGCCAGTCCTGGGCTGCATGCCACAAGAGTTCAGCAGCTTTTATTTTGAAAAATTGCCAGATTTACAGCGTTGTGTTGCCAAACATCCGATCGAATGTTTTGCCAAATGCTGCTGACCATTTTCTGTGTGTGTGTTCGTGTCTGCAGGCTGTGTGCTTTGGCGAGTGTGTGAGAAAACTGCACTGTCTGTGCGAATTTTTTCACAGTCGGTCCACAAACCAAGAACAGGGATCAGAAGACAAACAGGATTAAAAACCAACTGAAGCTCATGTTCAGCCGCTGACAGGGTCCAGTGACAGACCCATGCATCACAGGTCCTTTGTTAGTGTGTTCACCCCCTACCCTAACTGAGGCGTGTTCACCTGTTGAATTACACTGAAAACTACTGGAAACATGGAGGTAACCCAACACTTTGTAGTTTCTATCAAATAAGAGGAAACAGCACATATGTTTGGGACTATTTTCATTGGCGGATGAATCCATTTGGTCTCTGTTGAATATTTGTGGCAGCAGGATGATGAATGTGGAACTGAGTCAGAGTAAACTTCAGTGTGTGTGCTCATATAATAAGCACAGGGAAGTTCTGCAGCACAGAGGAATGAGGATATACACATGTTAGTAGAAGACATTCACTGTTGGTTTGTATCTGGACACAAACACACAGTGTCCACAGACTTGTCCTTTAATTTTGTTAGCCATTGTCTTGCCCCGACAACCCGTTCCAGAAGGAAATGCATCATATTATGGCAGTAAAATGCCTTTAAATTCTCTAAATAAAAAAACAAAGGAGAAGCAGTGTAAAGATCAGATGGTCTGCTGTTAAAATTCACAATTTTAAGAACGTGTATCAACATGTTTGTTTTATAACCAGTTTACTTGTCAGAATGCACTCCTTGCTAGCATGTGTATATTTTTATATGTATTGTTGTAAATACAGGCTACTGTGACAATTCTATTTTCCTCTTATGTAGACTGTGAGGAACATCTTTAATGTGTGTATTTACAGGATGATGATGCAGACTTTTCCTTTTTTATTCTAAACTGTTGCAACTGAGTCTGAAGATTTGGCTAAACCGATCCTTTATGTTGTAAACATCATCCATATCTTGTCAAACAACCCACATGAGCTTATGGCTTGGACTGAGTCTGCCATATATAGTCACAAATGAGTGTCCTTCGAGGTGGACGACAGATGTGGTTGAAACTCCGGGAAAAGTAAGTTCACCTCAACATTGTGTTTTTCAATTGATGTCAAATGTGGTTTTAAAAAAAAAAACAAATGTGTATTTGTAAAAATGTTACAAAACATTTACTGCATTGTCTTTTTAAGTATCATGTTTGCCGGCAAGCGGTGTGGGCGGCGTCTTGTATCAGGTTCCACCCACATCTGCAGCCAGAACAACAACAACAACAACAAACAAAAAAGCATGGAGTGTGTGTGACGGCTGCACTTTCTGTGACCAGCACTTAAAATCTTTAATAAATAGATTCATGGCTCTGTTGAAACCAGACTGGGTCAAACTTCTGCCTTTGGCTGTTTTCTCTTCCTGGTGTAAACTTGTAAATTATCAGTGTTTGAATTTGTAAAATATCAGTGTTAGTTTGTAGCATGAATTTAAATATATGTGACTGTAACTGCTCTGAGCTGTTTGTGTTTTATTGGAGCTGTTTGCAGGTTTGGTTTCAGAGGTGTGTGTGTTTATGTACAGCTGTGTCAGGGCCGAGTCTCCAGAGCAGCGCCGGGTCTCCTCTGTCAAAGGAGGAAACCTCCTCCTTCCAAACCAGATCCCCTCACTGCGTCTGACCACACTGCGTCTGACCCACTGTGTCATCCTCATGAAGCCATTCAGTGAGCTAGAGCTGCAGCCATGAGTCAGTTCACTGGTAGAAAATGAACCTCAGCTATTTACCGACATGTTCTGGTTCCACCTTCTTTAATGTGAGTCGCTGATGCTTTTCTTTGTCAGACATGAGAATCAGCTGAGTCTCTATGGATCTGCGGGTTGGACACAACAAGACGTGTGGAGACGCCACCTTTGGCTCTGGAGAGTCACAGTGGGACTTTTACCCAGTGTCTGACATTCTGGGGACAAACAGATCAATCAGATCATCAGGACGATGATCAGCTGATTGATCAGTGACCCTGCTGGTTGGGTTTCCACTCAGTCTGGGGTTTCCTTCCACTTGTCATGTGTCTCAGCTCTAATAGTGTATCACACACCAATGAGTAAATGATGAACAGTGCACATCAAGGTGTGGGAAATATTAGACACTAAGGTCTCTATTTTCCTGTGAGAGAACATAGTGCTAAACTCATGACTAAATTCCAGGTACAAGGTGAATGTGGGTATCTTCAAAGGTGTTTTGCAATTTTGGTGACCACAGACGCAACACACTTTCATGCACATCCTGGCATTTCCGAGTGCTTTTAATTGTTGAGGAAAGTCACAGTGATGCCTGGTGGTAAAATTAAAACCTTGAAACCCTAGTTTTCACTGGTGCATGAAATTAGTAATGTCATGGTAGAAATGTTTTACATGAATGATCAGAAATCAGATTTTCTTCATTTTTACAAACTTTTTAGGCGACGGCAAGTAAATCAGACACAACAGAACTAAAATGCCTTGAGGCACATTTGTGATATTACTTTTTATAAATCAAATGCAGCTTGACTTCATTTTCCTCCATAGGGTGGCTGGACTCAGCCTTAGGGTGCAGACTTCGGACATCCAGTGCTTGTTGGCCCTGAGCGGTGTCTGCAGGGTTTCCTTGCCGGCTGCTCCAACAAGCTCTAGGTTCATTAATGTTCAGAGAAGCTCTATGTTATGATTCACCATATCATCTGGTCCGTCTGAGGCTGTGACTCATTCTTGCTAAAAAGGATTTGAGTTTAAACAATTACACAATGATCTAGAAGAGCATTTTGAGCTGATAGGTTTCTACTGTCGACTGAAACGTGTGAGGATTTAGACAGGTTTTCATCAGTATGTGAGGGCATCCTGACCTCTGCAGTAGCTTCGGTTCGCTAGCCTCACTGTAACAACTCATCTACTTCCTCTGATTTTATAAAAACCAGAGTTTTCTATGTTCTGCCATAAATGAGTAGATGCTGTGTATGGATCGGAACCACTTTCTCCACTTATAAACCAACCATTGAGGCTGTTGCTAATGTCACATTCATGTCATATCAGGTGTACCGTATTTAAGAGGCATTAACCAAAGACCGGCACTGAGCAGCTCAGATGTTCAAGGAATAGAGAAGGATCTGACATCAAACTTTCCAAAGCACATTTCCAAAAATGTCAGATGATTCCTTCACCAGAACTTATTCAGTTCACAGGGAGTGAAACCCTTGTACTGAATAGGTGCACATAAAGTTCAGTATCTGCAGCACAGTAACTATCATTCTGTGGACTGTGAGGTCAGAGAAGCTTTTACCAGATGAGAGGAGTGAGTGTGTTTATGTTGACATGAGAATCCTGGTTTTGATCATATTTGGGATATGATGTTTACATTGATGCATATCTGAGTTTTCCGTTGCAGAGGAGGAGGCCTTAAAACGACCACACAGGTTCTGATCTGTGTTTTGACAGCACTCGCACAGTCAGAGGTTGGAGTGGAAACAGGTCTAGGAGCTTGCGTACAGGTGGCCCAGATCTGGTCTGGTCTGTTCACACTGCTGTGGACACATCAAGTCTATGAAACTTCAGCTGAGACGTGGATGCAGCCTATTTACAGCATCTGTCGGTGGAGCTGACGACACACCTGTGCAAACAGGGGTCAGAAACCAGGCTCAGGCGTTGAACCAGTTTGTGGTTAAGAGAAGACCAAACCTTGCCACTATATTGTACATAATATCATGTTTTATATTGAGAGAGGGTTGTAAATTTAATACAAACAAGAAAAACTGAGGATTATAAAGAAGAAAAAGAGAAATGGGAAACATTTCCAATGTCGCAGAATAATAAACTCTGATGTGTTCAGGAGCTCAGACTCATTCTGTTTCGAAGCATTCACACACGATGATGTGATTGCAGCCTGTATCACCATGACACTCGCTGCCATTACACACTTTACTGTGCATTTGCAAGAGCTGACCCGACTGAACTCAGCTGGAACCAAGGGAACTTAAGATCCAAAGCCGAGATCAAGGCTTTATTTCTCCTTAGCAACCAAATTTTTCGAGTGGTTTTTGTGAGCTTGGTACAAGTCAACTTCCCACTGATGGCTCCAGCACTGGGAACGTTGTTCCCAGACTAACTGCCAACCTTACAGACGAAAGCATTACCACCTTAAACATGGTTAAAAACTCACTTGAGTACTGTGTGATAACGTCTAGAAGTGCAGGCACTAGTGGCTGAACCAGGTTTTCAGGGCTGTTGCAATCATCCAGTGCTACAAGCATGTCAACTCAACTCGGCTGATGCTGACACCAGCTATCATACACACTCACTGCCCTCAACACTGTACCTGCTGAAGTGCAGCCTGTACACTGAGGACCCTGACCACGGGGGACCACCGGGTTCACTCATGGACACTGTGTTCTCACGATCCCGTGGATATGATGCCTGCTGCCTTCAGAATCACTAGACAGTTTGGTGTTGAAAATAGTTTTGCATTTTCATTCATATGCTTGTATCATCTCCACACACACCAAGATGAGTTGGCAGATGTTTGTTAATAAGACACATGTTGCATCAACACAACCATCACAGTGAGTTCAGTCAGAACTCTACTTGGTTTCATGTTTCCAGCCTCTGGATTCTGGACACCGGCCTGTCGTGTTACTGTGTCCTGAAAACCTGAAATGCTGGATATATGTACTGGAGAGGTCAGACTTGGTGTATACTGAGGGGAACTACCACTGGGACCAGCAGCACAAAACCCTGACTGGACATCAAGTCGACTGCCAACATCTCCAGATCATAGGTTTCTATTACCTCATACCTCGTACAACATGTGGCTCTTCTCTCCTTTCTTTCACAGCACAAGAAGAAGAAGGATGTTAACACTGTTTTGTTTCCCAGCACTTTCCCCTGTAGGTACCGGTGTGTTTTTACCAGCAGAACTAGTGAGAACTGGTTTACATAGTTACATAACACTGGTTGTTTATTAAAATGCATAAAATGACCTATGTTGTTGTTTTCCTGACACACGTCTCTATACTGCATTACATCCTGCAACACCTAGACTCCCCAGGGACCTATGCATGGGCCCTCTTTGTGGACATCAGCTCAGAGTTCAACACTGTCATCCCAGACATTCTCCACTCCAAACTGACCCAGATCACTGTGCCTGCCTCCACCTGTCAGTGGATCACCTGGCAGACAGGAGGCAGCAGGTGAGGCTGGGCAAAACCATATGCAGTACTGCCACCCTCTGGGTGCCACTATAGAGCAATGGACAGCATAATAACTGGACACATGGAGTTTCTCCCCCTGTGCCATCACTCTTTACCAGGTAACCCACATTTGTCTGTATAGCATGACACAGCTAAACCCCCAGTGCAATAATTAGTAAGTATAACCGCTGAACATATTTACCTGAAAGCTCTTCTGTAAATATATTTATTATAGATTGTTGTTTTTACCTCTTCTTTTCCCCCCTTATTTAAAAACACAACTTTTTCATGTTGACTTACAAAAGCAGTAAGAGCTTCTGTACCAGAGTCACATTCCTTCAATGTGTTCAATATGCTTGGCAAACAAAGAGCATTATTATTCTGATTTGCTTGGAAAAGATATAAAAATTTGATCAAAATGTTCATTTTAAATATATTACTAGTGGCACCAACCGAACAGGCAGTGTAAACCTCAGGTCGCACCTTGAAAATTCACCTTTGGAAATATTTATTGTATTTGATACTGATGGTCAAAAATGTTTTCCAATGCCACTAATTTGTTGTAATAAATGACATTTGTTTCGCTGGTGTTTCTACGTTGAAGTGAATTTGAACTGAAGCCTGAAATGCCACCTGCTGGTGAGACTGCGGTCAAGTGAACCTCTGTTGCAAAAACCAAGTGAGCTGCTGTTTGATTTTTGTTGCACTTCTTCTTGTTACAGTACGAGTGCTAGGAGCGGCTATTTACACTGCGGCAGAAAAGTTGATTCTGAAACAGGCCGAAGGGGTACGTTGGCCCCAAAGTAATCCATACAGCTCAACAGTAACATGAATGAACATGAAAGATCTACTGTAAACTGTGCAGTAATGTTACTTCAACTTTTGTGTGATCATAGTCAAGGTCACTCTGAACAGGAATTAGTTTAAGTAAAAAAAAGTGTTTCTACTATACAAATTAAAACTGTCACATCTGTTGACCATGCTATATGTGAGGGCGGGCTCGGCAGCGAGGGAGATGGACCTCCCAAGGAACCAGATCTGGTGTAAGATCCGTTTCATTTGGGGAAGTTAAAATGAAACATTGCACGTTTACTGTGTTACTAATTGTCAAGAAGCCCTCAGGGACCAGGAGGAGGAGCTCAGGGCACTGAGAGCGACAGTAGGACCAGTTAGACCTGGGAAACAAAGGGGTGGACATCAGTAAGAAGCCAACAGCAACGCAGTTGGAAAGAGGCTGGACAGGCAGTTGAAGGTCCATGTAGACCTGAGTGAGGGACAGCTGGAGACTCTCCTGGTCTCCCTGAAGGCAGTAAATCCAGCTGGTCACAATGTCAGGCTGAAAGGCGAGCAGGGGACAAGGACACATGATCTCAGGCCTGTTGTCTGCAGCACCCTCATTAGTCTCTGCCCCCTGCTCGTCCTCCAGGGCGAGGCTGTGAATGTCAGAACAGCTGGGTCAGTTGCTCCCACTTCAGCCAGAAAACGTCTGACGTCTGTTCTGTCTGATCCTCTGCCTGATTTCACCTGCTACTTGTTCAGGGATCAGCCTGCCCCTCATCTGGTCAGCAACCTGCTGGATTCACCTGTCTGAGCTTTGCCAACCGCTTACCTGTGTGGTGTGGAGACTCGTAAAAACTGAGGTTACTCAGTGCTGTTATCCTCTGTATTTATGTTAAAGGGCTTTTTAAGGACCTACATTTAGAATTAGAGGTGTTAGGTATTTTTAGTCAGATAGATATTGGATAGATACTTTATGTATTAGAAATGTTTAGTGGAGATAGGATGTCTAGTTAGACTGTTAAATGCTTAGTCATGCTTATGAGTTTCTACAGGGTACATCTGGTCAAGGATAACTAGAGAGAAGAGTTGATGACTGTCAGCAGACAGGGTGTTAATATTATTATAATGACGTGTATAACTGTAGCCTTAGCCATAATATGTTCTTATGTTTAAGACACGACATGTTTCTGTGTAGTATGGGGCTAGCCCAACCGAGGGGATATAATGTATAGGCCTGGTGGGGTCAGGGTCTTTCATCTTACATCTGCCTGCGAGCAGTTTGGAGGTGCAAGATACCTGAGCATGTAATGTTAATTTTACCTGTGATCCTTTGAATAAATCAGCACTGTTTTGAAGTTACTTGGACTGTCTCGTCTCTCAGAGTTAGCAATGGTAACAAGAACTGGAGACCAACAGAGGAGACTGGCAGTGGCACTTTTGTTTTCTTTTCTCTTACTGTGAAAGGAAGAGACACTAGAAACCCTTCTCATGCATGTAACCTCTGAGATATACACCTTGTTTAACAGTTGCTGTCCCTGCTGTATGGTTTTGTTGAAAGTCCTTTTTGTTTCCATTTGAGATTAGTTAGAGCCTGTTTTTGTTATTTTCTCAGGCACATCCTCCTCCACATAAAGTTATATCATTGGAATTAAACTTCTCGATTTGGGATCTGACTTTTCTATGTTGGTTGCCATGTGCAACTGATGCTGCTCTGGAGACATGTCACTTTGTCCTTTGAGCTGTCACCCAGCTACACTTCCGTGTGCGATTTCACCGCTGGAGCAAACAATTACAGACAGCGGACAGAGACAGACTAAAAGTAATGTGAGGTGAGCAGTGCACAAGCATAGCTTTATAACCTCTGTGTGTAAAATACAATAGATGGAGACCCACCTCCTCCTAAAAGAAAATGATCTGCTCCAGATCATCGTGACGTGGCCCCTAAACTTCTCAACATGTAGAAATGGCCCTGTTGGTCAGTGACCACTTTCACAATAAGTCATTTGATGCATTAATAGTATTTAAAAAGTTGATTACAGCAGCTGTAATGCTAGGATTAAGGTGAAGTTTAGAAGCTGGGGAGTGTGTTATCAGTGCAGTGTGTCTGAGTGTGCACTTACAATAACATGACTGCCTGTTTTATGGCTTCACCGGTAGGCGCCTGCATCCGGTGTGAATGTCTGTTACCTTTTCCTGTTCAAAGCTCAAAGTCCAGCCGACAGAGACAATCCGCAGAAGCCACACAGCAAGAAACAAAAATTGCATAAAAGGAAATACTTGTCTCAGCTGAAACCACAGAAGAAGAAGAACGGTGGGCACATCTGGAGAAACTCTGAGGGCCTCAAATCTGAACCTTAGTCCACATCACAGATGGACTGTACCTAAGGAGGAGCAGGTGGGATAAATCACACAGATCGACTGAGCGGCAGCCATCTTGGAGGACACGGGTATGTTTGAGCAAATATGTCGAAGCAGATCTGTTTCTGTTTAGACCTGTCACAGCAAAATAAGTATTTACCTCAGTCATGTTGTAGTTCAGGTTTGTCAGCTGAATTTTGAAGAAATGCATTCGGCAGTTGGACGAAAACAAAAGCGAGTAAAACTTGATCAATACTGCAAAAACTGTTTTACTTTCATTTCATTTGGTTTCTGATTTTTAAACAATTTGACAAAAGCAAACATGCTGAATGGGCAACATACATCATTGCAGTCCTTTCTGTGTTGAACTCACAGTTTTCGGAGACTGTAAACACTTTAGAGGACACTAATGTCCAATTAATGAAGACACATAAAAAATTTTTGCAGGGTGTGGATTTTTTCATCTAGTTTTTATTTAGTATTTAGTTACATTTTCTGTAAAATCTTAATTCCAAAATGAAGGTCTGAGTGCTGTTTCAAACATTTCTACACACTATCAGAAATTAGACTCAGGTGTCTGTCTCAAAATGTCTGTCTTAATGTCTGGTTGTTCTGTTTATTTTCTCAGTCTGTCTCCAGCTGTGCAGTGGCTCCAGCTGGGGCCCATCCAGACCCCTCCACACTCCCTGGTCTTAGCCTCCCCCCCCGCTGGGAAGCATGGAGCCTGACAGCACCCGGCTCCAGGTGCTGGGAGAGAACGAGGCACTGCAGCAGTTTTTCAGTGGTGAGATTGTAATGTCTGTTTCCACTAGTGAAGATAATCATTTACCGATTAGTTTCTACTTTACAAATGTAAGAGGTCCAGTATTTACAATTTGCTATTTGCTTTTATTACAATATACTAAAGTAGGCTACGAAACGAGGACCTGACACTTTGTAGCCTTAGAAATAGGAAGTGAATTAATCAGCTTTTATTTTGAACAGCCTCAGCAGAAACACTAGCAGAAGTCTGAGGACTTCTTAGGGTGATTCCAGGTGAAATCTATCTTCCTCTGGTTGATGTGGTCACAAGCGATTGGTTATCATGTCTGTGTGTGTGTGTGTGTGTGCAGGTCAGGATGTGAGTGATGTGTTGGACAGTACTGTCACCGTGGATACAAGCATCCTTGAGCAATATCTTAGCAATGACATCGACCCCATCAGCTGGTAAGATACACATTTCTATACATGTGAGGACTGTTATCAACTTAATGCTAACCCTAACCCTCACAACTGCGTCCACATCCCAGCTGAAGTTTCCCAGACCTGGTGTGTCCACAGCAGTGTGAACAGACCAGATGTCCTCAGACCAGATCTGGGCCACCTGCGTATGTGCTCCTAGACCCGATTTCTCTCTGACCTCTGAATGTGCGAGCGCCGTCAGAACGGTCAGATCAGAATCCATGTGGTCATTTTAATGTTTCCTCCGCTGCACATACGGCCTGTCGTCATCATTCGGCGTCGGCCCCTCACAGACCAGTAACAATAAACATGGAGGAGAGCTACAACGGCGACGAGATCAGTGGAGAGACCAGGACGTTTATGGAGAAGCTTCTGATCAGGCCAAACTGGGAGGAACATATCATACCCCAGTGGTTTGGGAGGAAACAGGGCCATTTGACCATTGCACACACGACCTGGTTGTTATTCTGGTGCGCACGTGGCTCACATTTCAGTTACATCTGTGCACATGTTGGCAGGTTAGGAGCTCAGAGGTGTTCACAGCACAGCTGGGTACATGGCGCTGACACACGGACGCGAAGCAGCAACACAACAAGGTCTGAGCGTTGAGGCCTGGGACGTGGATGCAGCCTGAGTGCCTGACTCCAACCATAATTCTATCCTGAACCCTAAAACCAAGTCTTATTTTTCCTTTGAATCATATACAGTGCAGTGATGATGGTTTAAAAGTGAAAATGGTCCTCACATCATGGCAAAGACTTAACAGCTCACTCTTCTGTAAAAAACATACCTTCATTTTAACATTTCATTTTATATTTTCATTTATTTTTACTCCTTGTCAAAGATCAAAGTCCATAAGTCAACCAGGAGTCGAAGTTAGTGTGTTTGTCCAATATTCAAAGGAATTGATACAATGTAAAATGTGTGTAAGTAAATAAAAAAGAACAAGCAGGAGTGGTAGGAGTAGTAGTAGTACTAGTGTAAATTTACAGTGTCATCTTCATTCTTGGACACAACCTGTTGTATAACACACAGGTAGCACTGACTGAGCTGGTTTTCAATGGCTGGTTGTAAATACTGTAATGTAATCAGTGAAATCCATCACATTCACTGTTGAGTCAGCAGCTGGTGAACACTGGGGTCTTGTGTCCAGTCATGTCTTCTAACCAGTCCACGCCTCATGCTCTTGGTTTGTCCTTTTTTTCCCCAGCATGCTCCCTGAGTCTCCACCTGATTCCTGCTCAGAGGCCTGTTCACCTGTACAGATACCAGGTATCATTCACAGCTTTAAAATACTTTAAGACAGAAGCACAAAAACATTGTAATGTTAATCAGGCAACACCAAGGCCTGTGTAAACAGAGCTACATGCTACTTTCAAAAGTTGGAGAGAGCATCAGGATTTTAAAGGGATGAGGATGGAAACAGGGCAGGTGGGTAAACTGTCTCTATTTTTATCCGGTTACATACATGAGAGGGTCAGAATATTAGGAACACCTCTGTAAATAATGCAGTCCTGTGCAACACCACCTTTAACTATGACCTCAATAATAAACATATAATTGAATTTATATATTTGACAATTTCACCAAAAACTGAAACACTGTGAGCCTCATAAACACAAATGTTAAGGCAGACGTGTTGCATTAAAGTGCATACGGTTGTACAGGTGTACCTAATAAAGTGGCTGGTGAGTTTGCGCTGCTTGTAACTTTTATAATAAAAGTGATTTGCTTATCACTAATCGTTCTGGACCTTTGAGTAGAAATCAGATTCTTTGAATACTAAGTTTGAGAACTCCATCTTTAGAGCGAAAACGAAGGGTTATTCTCATCGGTAACAGTGTTTATACCTGTGTTTGAGTGTTGTGACTTGAAACTGTTTGTTAATGTACTGTACTACTCTGATTGGCAGACTTCCACTGTAAGCACCCCTATTGGTCCAACCAGCAGAGCACCCAGGAGGTGTTCCAGCCTGCCTCCTCTTCCTGTCGCTTTAAGAATCAAGGCTCTGTCCCCACCCACCCTGACCTGCTGACCCACGATCAGCTCACCAGTTTGGGCCTCACTAACACTTATATCAAATCTGCGGCACCTCCTGCCACACTTGCTGCACCTGTCCCCCTGTACCAGCACACACACCGTTCACCTGAACACACACACTACCTGAGACCAGAGAGGTGCTCACAGGTTCACACCCCACCCACGCCTCTGTCTCCACATTCAGACAGCTGCATTGCACCATGCCCTGGTCCAGACATAGCCCCAAATGTAACTACACCCCTTTCAACCTGTCTGCTGGGCTCTGCCTCCACAGTGCACACCTGGTAAGCACAAATTATGACCAATTATCATATTTCCTGACATGATATATGTAAAGCTCATGATGAGGTAAAAAACCCAGAAACGTCTGTGCCGATATTGCTGTGATAAACTAATCATATGGCAACTTGGTCTGTCGGTATTTAATTGTTTGTTCTGAAACTTATTGTCATCGGGCTCCAGCTCCCCAGAAAGTAAAAAGAGGCGGAGATCTGCGTCTGAGGAACCGTCAACAGCAGTCGATGGTGACAGGACTCGTGGTGGGGGAATAGGGAACAGTGTAGGTGGTGTTGAACTAAATCTGGGATCCTACCAGCTGCTGACCTGGGAGCATTACAGGCCAGAACAGTGGAGCACTTGGTATGACAGCAGCTGCCAGATGCTGTGAGTAAAGGCACCAGCTGAATCAGCATTTTCCTCTTTAATCTGGCTGGTAGTTGTTGATGTGCTTGGTTGTTGTCTCCAGGGCTCCACCTGCCTACTGTGTGGGCGCAGATAAAGGCTTCAGCTACTCTGCAGCTGACGAAGCCTTTGTTTGCCAGAAGAAGAACCACTTCCAGGTCACTGTTCACATTGGCGTGGCCTCAGAGCCACAGTGCATCAGAACAGCCAGTGGGCCGCAGCAGGTCGATTACTTCCTGATAAAAGTGTTTGGCATCAAGGTATGGGCTCTCAGAACTCATCAGACTTATCCTGCTGAGCCGTTTTGGTTGCAGGGGAGTCTGAATATTGTATTTACATGTGTTCAGTATTACATCTGTGCACTACCTCTTGTTTTCCTTCTTTATGTTTACAGCTGGAAGCTCCAAGCCACCAGGTGACCATCGAACAGTCTCAACCTGACCGCAGCAAGAAGCCCTTCCACCCTGTCAGGTAAGTAACCATTGAAGAGAGCCTATATGCAGCAAGACCAATGGGGTGACAGTCAGAGATCTGTACCAGTCCAAAGTTTAGGGAATCAGCTGTTTGCTGTTGGAGGTGGGAAGGGTTAGCTAATTGTCCATTTGTCAAGTCTTTCCTGGTGTGAAAGTGAAACAAATCTTTGCATGGTTTACCATTTTATCAATTATGTTTGTGAATGCTGTTACATCACTCCTGTGTGCAAAATTAAAATGGGCTCAATGTTGCCCCTTGTGGTCAGTGGGGAAAACCACTGGCCTGGTAACTCACTGCTCACTAAGTAAATGCAGTATTTTCCTTTATTTTACTCTTGTGCATTTTTTTTTAAAGATTATTAATCATCCAGTACCTTTATACCTATTTAAGCACCTCTAAAGGGCCAGTATAACCAGTAAAATACAGCATTCTCCTTGCCAGAAAGGGATTGTAGCTAATATTTTGATACTGAAAAGGGTTTTGTGCCTTATGCCCAGTTCAGACTACATGATTTAAGCCCAACCAACAGCCCAACATGACAGATGTAGGGCGTCAGAACCAACAAATGGCGTTAGATACAAAAAGAGATCATTTTATCTCGTATAGTGTGTCATAGTAAACGACAGCTGATGATGTGTCTTGGACACCTCACAGCGTCCCGACACAAAGGCTAGCATGTCAGAATTGTTTTCATTGTGTACGATGAGGGGGGTGACGCTGATCAACAGGAGCACAGGGTGCTCTTCTGTTCACAACATTTTTGGCATAAAGGACAGAACCCTTTTCATTAAATATCACAGTCGTACAGCTAACATTACATTCACAGTCAGCCTTCTGAAGTAGCTACGCTATCAGGGCTAGCTAGCTAGTTTTTGGTTTTTTTTAACTACTACTTCAAGTTCTCTATGAAGCAGAGACAACAGGCTCTTTGTGTGACCCACAGATGGGTCCACGGTTGCCTCCCACCCCTTTTTTATGCTTTTCCGAACACAAGCAGCCAGTATCACACGTGCTCTTGTCCCAGGTCTCGGCACCTCCCGGTTGTGACTGTCGTCAGGCTGTGATCTGTCGGGTACTAGCATGTAGTCTGTCTGCTTTTCCAAAAATTTATGACTATCACTGTGTAATCTGACATAGTGACCATCATATCAGATAAACCGATCGTGTAGCCTGAACCAGGAATGATCTTTTATTAGACTCTTCTGAATTATTTTTAATTAAGACTGTCCACCATCCTTCTAAAAGACCAATATAAGCAGTAAAATGCAATATTCTCATTGCCAAAAAGTATTTATAATTATAGTGTTAATGTTTCCTCATGTTTAGAACTACAACCCAGAATCTAAATGAAGCATTTGATGGTGACATACTTCCAGTTGGCAGTTTATTCATAATTGATAAAATGGTAAACCATGCAAAGATTTGTTTCACTTTCACACCAGGAAAGACTTGACAAATGGACAATTAGCTAACCCTTCCCACCTCCAACAGCTGTAGCTGGGTGTGCTGTGCCTGCTGAGTGTACATAACGCTTCAAGACTGAAGCTAAAAATGGACATCCCAAACTTCCAGACAAATCCAAAGCACGACAGCCCTGACACAACTGGTAACGTGATTAGACAGTCACTGTTTGGGGGTTAGGAGTAGTGAGCGGTGCATCACTGACTGCTGCAGTAAGCCCCTTCCAGCCACTCATAAATATACATGTAGAAGCACAAAGGTGCTTCTGATACCGTTCATCACAGTCAGTATTTTAAAATGTAAAATGTAAAATTACTAGCAATTTTTTTTATGAAGTACTTTAATTTTCAAACTTTTCTGCATAAGTTGTAAACATTAAAAAATGAAAACAAGCTGTGAACCTGCAGGGTCAGTCTACCTGGTGGCAAGGTCACCAAAGTCACTCTTGGCCGGCTGCACTTCAGTGAGACGACAGCCAATAACATGAGGAAGAAAGGCAAGCCCAACCCTGACCAGAGGTAGGAGTGTGTTTCTTTGTGCAGGTGTATCACTGAATTAGCTACAGTCAGAGAAGCCACATGTTAACTGTATCTGTGTGTGCAGGTATTTTCAGATGGTGGTTGGTCTATATGCTGCAGTGAAGGAGGAGACGCTCCTCCTCACAGCTCTGGTGTCGGAGAGAGTCATTGTCAGGGTAACTTTAAACCTATAAATCAATAAGTTGGTGACCCTTTGTGTCAAACGGCAGCAGAAAAAAGCTCCGACATAGCCGGTTTCTTTAAGCATAAGTGGAGTCTCCCTCCTGCAGGCTTCCAACCCGGGTCAGTTTGAGATGGATGGAGACACCCTGTGGCAGCGTGGGGCGGTACATGACACAGTGGTCTGTTCAGGCCGGGTGGGCATCAACACCGACTGCCCTGATGAGGCGCTGGTCGTCTGCGGTAATGCCAAGGTGATGGGCACCGTCATGCACCCATCCGACTGTCGTGCTAAGCAAAACATACAAGAGGTAAGACAATGAAATAGTAGCACACAGACACTGTAAAGTTTGTGCTTATGTCGAAATGTTGTTGATGAAGGTTTGCTTTCTGGAGCTCAGAGGGGGTGAGCAGTTGTCAGACAGAATATAAGAGCCAGTCAATGTTTGCTACCTATGTAGTGAGCAGTGCTGTGATCAGACTACAGCGCTGACACCTGGTTTACAGTGGATCACTACAGGTGTCATTTGCTTGATTCACACAGAGGTTGAGTTTACACAGTTTGATATTCATTCACCTATAGTTTGTGATGCCATGAGTTTAAACATTCTGCACTTACAAATGACTGAAAAACAGTTTGTCTGTTTGTCAGGTCGACTCTGAGCAGCAGCTGAAGAGAATCACTCAGATGAGAATCATTGAGTTCGATTACAAGCCTGAATTTGCTTCCGTCATGGGAATAGACCAAACGCACCAGACAGGTAACGGGTCACATTATTCCTGTCTGACACTCTACTTTATTTATTATTCAGGTGTGTGATGCTGTGCATGCTGTGATTCTTTTGTCTGCATTACATTAAGATGTTCATATGACATTTCAGGTGTAATAGCTCAGGAGGTGAAGGAGCTGCTGCCATCTGCTGTCAAAGAGGTCGGAGATGTCACCTGCTGTGATGGCGAGAGGATTAATAATTTCCTCATGGTGGACAAGGTACAGTCACCTTCTTTGTTTTTTCCTGAAGCTAGGTTATGATATTTTCACCTCTGTTATAATTTATTTGTAACTATGATAGATAGATTTCACTGTACAGGGAAACACGTTTCCTAACTGCATATGACAAGTAAACACTTTGACCTTTGACCTAGTTTGGAACTCAAACAGTGTAGGGTCTGCATTTCTCTGATGCCGCCTCCTCCATCTTCAGGATCAGATCTTCATGGAGAACGTTGGGGCAGTGCAGCAGCTGTCGAAGCTCACCGACAACCTGCAGACTCGAATCCAAGAGTTGGAGGTCTGGAACCGAAGACTGGCCAAGCTGAAGAGCCTGACGGGCAGCTTGCGCTCCACCAGGTACCTATCCTCATCTGTTTACTAGTCTGGTATTATAGATCTCACCATCTACACAGGGTATGCATCAGTAACATACAGTATACTGATAGGGGTCAACCTAAAATGGAGTACATGGAGGAAAGAACATGTTAACTCTACACAGATAGGCCCCAGTCGGTGGCGGGTTTGAAGCCAGGACCTTCTTGCTGTCAGGCGGCAGTGCTAACCACTGCACCACTGTTTTTCTTGTTGCCTCCAGCAGTAAACCCAGGAAACACAGCAGTGTGTCAACCACATCGGGTCCTGACACATGTAAGGCTGAGAAGGATCAGAAGGAGGGCTGGAGTCAGAAATACAGCCACTGTCTGCAGAATAAAGTCTTCCTGGCCAGCATCTTCACCTTGCTGGCCACAATGGGTTTCTGGTGAGGGGTGATGTCACATCCTGTTTTCACTACATGCATATTGACTTGCATACATATTCACTTAAAAGTATTGTGGTGGGTGTGTATTTATGTGCAGCATCATCTCTATCACCGCCTTGTACCTAGTAAATTTGGAGGGAGATTTCAACTTCTCTCCCAGCAACAGGTAAACAACTGTCTTTTTACTGTATAAAGAAACCCCATTTACAGTAAATTTACTTAAAGTCATGGCCAAAAATATTGGCACCCCTACAAGTGGTGGTTATCTGACAGAAATGCAGGGATGCCAATGTTTTTGGCCATGACTGTACTAGAAGCATAACAGATAACACATCTCCTACTGACAACCTAGCTACACCCTTACAACCATTAACAGTCACTCCAGAACAACATTTAACATAAACGATGACTGGACCCATGTAGTAATACCCTAGCATCAGTGTTCTCATTGCATTCTCAGAGTAGCTCTCTGCCTAATAACATCCTACTGTAACACTATAGTAACCATATGCATTTCTCTAACAACCACTTGGTAACATTTTAGCAACTGTTGCCTGGCAACCACCTCGTAACACCCTCTAAGTCCATTATCAACCACATATTAACAATATTATAAACCTCTGTTCTGTTCTCTGTTACACATTTCATCCAAAGTACAGTATTGTTGGCCGTTAAATAAGAGGTAGGTTGTTATGTTTACCAAAAACGTAACAACAAAGCACAGTGTTCTGAGTGGTGTTTGTGATTTTGTTTTTGTGTCTGTTAGCAACAACAGCTCAGTTCCTGTGCAGACCACAGCCTGCACCACTACAGGTATTGAACAACACTGACAGTGTTTTATCAGAGCTATTACTTTTTCACATGCTCCAAATCTTTAATTAGCAGCAATGTGGACTGTAAATATAAAACGGAATAAGTCTTTAAACACATCATTTTTATAGTGCAGATGAACTCCTGATACCCTCTCACTACCCAGATACCCTGATACCCCCAGTCCCACCAACTCGACCTGGCCACTGGCCACCAGATGTGGACTTCTGTGAGCTGCTGTACTGCGATCAGGTGTACTGTTGCCCTTCAACAACAGGTGGCAGCACTGAGTTCAACATCACAGAGTCATCTGGACCAGAAACGATTGGTAATCTCATCCTCAGTGATTGTAAGACATAAATACAAACAAACATGCACAAAGGGAGACAGTCCAGTCACTGATGTCAGTGTATGCATGCACACTGTAAATTCATGCTTGAAATGAATGATACGTTGCGCAAAAAGACACAGACCTGCACTCTCACTGTATGTGCCACTGATTTCTGGTTTGATTGTTGCTGTTTTTCTCTACAGAAAGAAAATATGAAAAACTTTATCACCTTCTGAAAAGCGCCAGAGACTGTGAGTTTTAAATCTGAACAGCAATATGTACAGACACACACAATGACTCTCATACAGACTGAAGTTTAACTAAGAAGCGGACAGTAGCTGACTGGTGCCCCCTTGTGGCTTCAGCTCCCGGCAGATGGGGAGTACATTGGATTCTTATTAGATGATCCTAAACAACAATGTGCCACACGGAGGCTGAGCTGTAGCTAAACGTCTCAGCACAGTCTGCGCACATCCACAGGACCAGTGCTGGATGTGTAGGGGTGTTGGTGTAGTGGCTAAACTGCATAACTACTTTATCACATGACACACACTGGCCTATGAAGCATTTTTTCATACATAGCTATTGCCAAAGGAGCAGGTGTCAGCTATAGATTGACGCTTTCTGTTTTCAGAGTTTGATCCGTTAAGTCCAGTAATCTTTAGGAAGTCAAGAAGGCCGCTTTATTTTATCTCATTCATTTACTGTACATGTAACGAGCAAGCAGGGAGTCAGCTGGAAGATGAATGCACATGCTCTATGGGCCCAAAAGTACGTAAAATTGTAAAAGTCTGCAGAAACACGGCAGACATTGTTCAGAGTACACAGCAAGCGGGCAACTTCCATGACCTTTTTTGAGCACAACATTCAGTTCTCCTCATACATCCATGTGGTGACCCACGTGCAATCACATCTGTGGCTGTGTGTGCACTGTCTGCAACAGTTCATGTGTGCATGCTTGTGTGTGCCATGCTCACCACTCAGTGACAACAGCTTGGCAATGAACTGCTTAAATTTCATTGAAATTTACTGAGAACACAGGATCCCTCGAGGATGAATCCATATGATTTCAGGGACAAGATTTACGCTCTGGTTCCAGTTTTAATGACCGTATCAATGGGCACCTTCAATGCGACCACCTGGTACTGCTAAACGTTGCATTCATCATGAAATCTGCTCTGTTGGTGTGAGAGTGAGCTCACAGTAACAACATGGTTTGTTGACGTGTGTCTGTCATTCTCTGTCAGGGACCAACACCACCATCCATTCTTTCATGATCAAAGAGAACCAGCAGGTGATTGACAGCAAATACTGCGTACGAGACGAATGTGGGTAAGTGAGGAAACCATATTATCTGTGTGCAGGGCTAAAGGCTTTTTTATTAGTGCACAGACAGTGTAATAGTTATAACAGTAATGCAAAAGCAGTACTTCTGAAGGATTGTTAGAGAAAACCTTCGGACATATTACAGATGGTGATTATATCAGAAAAGACTCTGCTCCTTGTTTGAAATGCTCATCAGAGCAAAAGGCCTGATGATTCACTGATGTGCATAAGTTGCCATTTTGTTTTTGACTTGCAGTTTGACTCATAACATTGTGTGAACAAAACAAAGATTAGGTTTATTTTTCCACTCAGTTAATGAACACATGGTGTGACTGTGATCAGCCGTAGCTTTGGCAGGATTGATGATCTTACTGCTTGTCCTCCAGGCCAGATAGATACATCTACAGAGTTCCCATCAGCCAGTTTGTCCCACTCAACATGAAAGTCACCCTGCTCATGAAGTAAGTACTTATTGATCTACAAATCCAACCATCTGCTCTAAAATGCCACAGGCAAAGTGGTGATAAAGATACTAGTCATCAAACCTAAGCACACACAGGCTTAAACAGACAACAGATATGCTTACTGCACAATAATCACTCTGTCATCTAGGACTTGGATTGTGTCTGTTTTATTTTTGGTGTTTTCTGTGAAATCATGGGGACTGAGGAGATTCTCACAGCAAATAGAAAAATAGGGAAATGTTCAGACTGTATGTGCAACAAGTCAGAAAATGAAAGATGCATTCAAAAAATTAAAATATTTTACAAGGTAATTTTGATATTTGAAAATGAGTGTCCTAACGTAGCTAATGTTGACATATCATCATCATCATCCTTTATTAGCAGACTCAAGGTCCATTCAAAAAAAAGAAATAAAAGAAAAAAAGAAAGGATATAAAAGAAGAAAAAAAATAAATAAAAATCATAAAAGATATTTATACCAATGTTTCCACAGAGAGGATTGGTAATGTACTACACTAAAACCAGGATTAGCCAGCATCATTATAAGACTGTTCTCAGAGTTATTCACACGACAGATAAATCTGTACATCAGGTTTCTCATTAATGCCTGAAAGGTACTAACATGGACCTGTGAACACAACAGACTGGCGCTGGTGGACCTAGGCTTCTTAAGCAGAATCCTCAAGGCATCATTATAAGCAACTTTAAGTTTCTGTAAAGTAGCTACCTTATATTTACACCACAATGGGGCAGTATACAACGGTGTACAGTATGTTCTGAACAGATGAACTTTAACATTAGCAGAACACATGTGAAATTTCCTAACCAACATATTAGCTTGAGCATACAAAATGCGACACTGCCGATATATATCCTCATCATCAGAAAGCTGATCTGTAATGAAATGTCCTAAATATTTAGTTTTTCTACAGACACTCAACCTTTGTCCAGACAAACAAAAGTCTGGGAAACAAAGTTCTTTGTCCCCTTTAGTCCGACAGATCAGTACAACACTCTTTTCTGCATTATATTTCACATCATACTTCAATCCATAGTCCGAGCACACATTCAGCAGTTGCTGAAAACCAGCACTGCTGGGCGAAAGTATGGCCAAATCATCAGCATACATAAAATGATTTACAAGATTAGGGCCTATCATACATCCAGTGTTACATTTATTCAATTCTTCAGACAACTCATCCATATATAAGTTAAACAGGGCTGGTGACAGTAGCCCCCCCGGCGCACCCCATTACAAACACCAAACGAGGCTGAAATAGTCCCACCCCATTTAACCTGCATCTTCTGATTAGAGTACCAGTATGCCAAGATTCTCACAATGCTATCAGGAACCCCTTTTTTGCTTAATTTATCCAAAAGCTTAAAGTGATTAACCCTATCAAATGCCTTGGACGCATCAATAAAACCCACCAAGACCAAGGAGTTTTGTCTGAGGTACTTCTGTGCTGCCTCCTTCAGACTGTAGATACACAGATCTGTCCCCAGCTTGGATTTAAAACCAAACTGATTATGTGTGGTTGTTATACAATGATACAGGCGATCAAGCAATATCTTCTTCTACATACTTCTTAACACCTCCTGTTATGAAAATGCCATACATTTAATTAATCTATAAGGTCAGCAACATTAGTGTGCAGTTGGCAGTGTTAATGTGCAGTATAAGATAAACTAAAAACCACATCAACCATAGCTGTATGGATGATTAGCGCGTTACCTGATGAAGCTCTTTAGCATGTTAGTGAGGCTGCTGGCTGTTTCGCTAGCTACAAGTTGGGTCAGCTGAGCTGATTCTTCTCGTTTTATTTGAAGCACAGAGATGCCAGTAAATGAAAATGTTTCCATACATGTTTTTACTTGGCTGCAGTTCTACAGAGCTGCTGGTGGTCCATTTGTGCAGCTCTGATGAGTCCGTGGCCTGTTCCGCTCTGCTGGATATAGACAATATAACTGGGAGCAGATACCCGTCAAATACACAGGTACATATGAACAGCCACATGTTCCTTCACCTGTAGTGCTAAGTAGTACATATACTGTAATAGTATACTGTAAATATACAGTTTGTCAGTATTATTGCAAAATTAGTCTTGTTTTATTTCTGTTTCTATAAAAAGATATTTTCATGTTATCACCTATTTTTCTTGTAATTACAACCATATAATTTGCTTTTACTAGAAAACTGTTATAAAAAACATCTTATTATACCACAAACATATTCTAAATGTTTTAACAGTATTTCCATGTTGTAGTGACACAATATTCTTATTCCTAATGTCCCAGTTTCCAGAAACATTTCTTGTCATAAACAAATTGTTTTGCCTTTTCTTGTTCCTACAAAACAATAACTTAAGTTATTTTCTTGATAACATGCAGTTTTATGTTATGCAAAGCATGTTATATTACTTATTATTTACATGCGACTTTAAGAGCATTTTACATCTTTTAGAGCAAAGAAATAAGATGATCAGCAGATGGACAAAGAAAATAATCTTTGCATCCCTGCTGTGTTTTAGGACATTTAATCAGTTTGCTTCATTGTTGACTTTGTGCTTCTTTTCTGATTTTTTTCTTACTGGAAAATCAGCAGGGTGTGCAGCTACATATTGTGTAAACCAGCAGAACTTTATTTGTTTTGTTTTCAAAACTAGTGGAGATCCCTAAATTTCCCATAAACCAGGAAAATGTCTTAATGAAATGTGTAGAAAATAATCCACAGGGTGTTTGAACATCCCACTCACTGTAAACATCAAGCAGACACAGACTCTGTGATGCACTGCAACATAGGGAGATTTTTGTTTGAAACCTCAAAGCTACTTAATGAGAAAAGGGGAAAACTGGAAGTTAAGAGGTCTAACGTTCTTCTTGAATGTGTTCAGAAGTGATTTCTAGGTTTGTTTCCATCTGTTTCTGCAGGGAGAACATGAATGGCCTCTCCATGTGGCTCGTCTTTATCACAGCTCCTATCACTTCCGCTCCACAGTGGCTGTAAGAGATTATCTCTCCCTTTCCTCTCCTCTTTTTTATAATTACTCTCTTGTCATCAAGTCCCATGTGGAAACCAGCAGTGACTGTCTCTAACAGTGATGAACTGGGTATTCTTTCATACTACATAAAGAAGTGCAACTGTATGAACCAGTATAATCATTTTTTTCCCCTTCACAGGTTATATTTATTTTCTGCAAGCCAGCAGTAGGCTGATTCTCATCACATATTAGAAGCAAACAGTCATGCATTGTGAGAACTCTGTCCTCTAGTTTTTCACTGTGCCCAGTATTTTGCTCTGACAAGAGTATGGCGGGGTAAAATATGAGCTAGCTTGAAAACTAAGATAATAGTGTAAGTTAATGTGCCCTAAACTCAAGTAGCAATAACTGCAAATGTTATATGGTTACTAGCGAGAGGACGGCTAACGTTAGCCTGTGAGAAGTGGTGAGACAGAGTGATGGTTCTGCTCTGGGGTCGTTATTGCTGTTTGGTAGGCAAAGCAGTCACTAACACACACAGTATTTACCTAACGTACATGGCTAATATTATATTTACATTGTCGTCGGTTGTTTGTTTCACCCATCTTGAATCTACATGGCAGTCCGTCCTCTTTCTGGACAACACACTCCAGCTTACTTTCAGTGTGAAAAAGAAAGTGTGTCCACAGATCATTTCTCCTATTTCTTCCCACCTGTCCGGCTGCAGCTGAAAATGAGGCTGCCATGTCGCTCATCATTTTGTCGGACTTTAGGCCAGTATCAACGACTTGGTTAGCTTGCTGACATGGCCCTGGCGAGCGGCTGGCTTTACGAGACCTGCTTTGCTGGATAAATTCTCATCCAGTGACACAAAGGATTTGGATGAACAGTTGTTTGCCACAACAGAGCCAGTAATTTCATCTCATATTTATCCTTCATGGTACACTGAACAATGATTTCTCCATAGTTTTTGTTGTAAATTATTTTTAATTAATGTTATTGTTACAATATAGTCATTGGATCAAAGGTCATCAATGAATACCTACTGTCAATGTTTTTGTTGACAATAGTTACACTGCTGTGAACAGGGACACTAAAGTTTACTCTGACTCAGTCCCGCTGCCACAGATACTCCCTACAGACCAAATGTGGATTCATCCGCCTCTGAAACTAGTTCCCAACAAATGCGCTCTTTCCTCCTGTTTAATAAAACTACAGTGAGCAGCTGTTTTTAGAAATTATTGAGTCTGATTTTAAAATGAAACGTTTTTATTTTGTAGTATTTGAGTGCTTTTGCATATCTGTCTCCAGGGCCAAGCAAACTGCAGTACTGACCATCACTACGCGGGGGTGCTCTTCACCGACTACTACTTCCACTTCTACAGACGCTGCACAGACTCATAGACACACAAAGATGACGATCAGAGCAGTGGACTTCTGTTTTGTTTTTAAACTGCAAATGTATTTTTACTGTGAAACAAGTCACCTTTTCTAATGCAGTATGATGCATGTTTGCAGCAGTGGTCTGCAGTGGCAGGTGCTTAGCTCAGACCCTCTATCTTCTTTCAGCTTTTACATTTATTGTCTTATTTGGATGCGTTTCCTGCTTTGTGTGAGGATGTTCAGCTTATATAGACACGGAGCCACAGATTGGTTCACAGTTTACCTCCCATCATTCACTTCAAAGATTAATTTCAGGATGGAAATTTACCAGCAGCTACTCTATGTAGAGAAATCGGTCAGAAGAACAGAGACACAGGTTTATCCACTTTAGATGAATTTAACATGATTAATCATCTTAAAACTTTCAAAACCACTGAAATTAAGCAATTCTGTATTTTCTATGTTTTTGGTTTTGGTTATCATGACATGCTTATGGAACAGGATTTGAATCTGAGGTGAGTCGATAAATTCCAGTTTAAGACCAGGTAATCAAATGAAATCATGGACTTTTCCTGTCTAGCAGGAATCAGAAAGCCAAATCAAGTTACAAGATATGCAAAAACACAATGTGTCCATGTTAACAAAAGAACTGGAGCGTGAATCAAAGAGCAGGACCGAATATTCTGCTGTAAGATGCAGCAACGACAGTGGTCTGACAGCTGCAAATTAAAAATGTGTTGAAATGAGCTGAACTGAACAGGACTGACTCCTGATGTCCTGCTTCATGTGAAACGCTAAGAAACAGTGAGATGGTTTAATAAAATGTTTAAGTATTGTGTTGCATTTTTGTGAATCGGTGTCTTGATGTTAACTACTGCAGAAACTTTAGTTCCCCAGCCTCAATGTGGACCTAACTCTAACGTAAAACACAACCAATCAATAATCATTTTCCCAGGTAAATCCTACCATGTTACTGACTATTTAACTCCCATGTTGTGTTTCGAGTTGGCTTTGTTTAGCTACTATTTGACCGAGACCTGTTCTGTTTCCCGGCCTTAGCCAAGTGTTTTGATTTGCTTAAACATGCAACATGAGGCTTTGCTTGGCAGATGTAAATACACTGGCAGTGACTGGTTTGTAGAAATGTTAAATATAAACATATTTTGTCTTATGTTGATATACTGCAGTCCTTAATTCACCAAAACCATAGTGAGACTTTGTTACTGCACATCAGCGGAAGACGGACACATAGGTGAATCAGGAGGAGGAGGAGGTGCAGCAGAGACACCACACTAATTAGATGTTTGAGGCAAACGTCACCGCTGCACAGAGGAAGGTAAAGTTGCAGGATGGAAACAAAATACACTGACAGCACACAGAGATGGACGCCCTGTTCACGGTGAGTATCTGCATGTTCAGCTCATTTAACTGTTTTCTATAAAAACAAGTTTGTACTGAGTTGACTTTATGTGTAATGGTTCATTTGTTTCACTGCTGCAAAAACAAGCAACTTTGTAATTGAAGGAAAAATTACCAAACATGAAAAAAGTAATAAAACAAAAAAACATGCTAAAAACTTTCAACTAAACGAAGCTGGATCAATTTTTACTAAATGTCCTGTGTTTTATTAATAAAATCTGTATGTTTTCAGTTTATGTTTTGGCAAACATATAACGAGCGTGGAAGTAAAATCCAACCAAAGATTTGCTCTTAATGAGCTACAACATTAAACCCCATGGGATGGTCCCATAATTTAGTGATTGATGATTGTATTTGTCCTGATTTAGCAGCTTGAAACATGAAGCTCTTACAGTGCTGATCCCGCATTAGCAGTTTTTGTCTGACTGCAAGTTTTATAATATACAAAATCTGTGATACTGCTTTGAGTTCATAATTGTCTTTTATGGTTTCAGCTTTAAAACTGGATATTTGGGGTTTTAATTTGAGGGTCAACCCGACTTAGGTGATCATACTTTAAATTTTGCGAGTTTTTGTACATATCCACAAATGAAAAGACTCAGTTTGCTAAAAATTAGAAACAAAGGCCAGGAGTGTCATATTAAAATACGCAAATATGCTGTAGAAGTGCATCCGTCCACCAAAAGGGAAAACTCTTACCAACCTCAGGTCACACTTCCACACGTTGCTAGCACTAGCTAGCAGCTGGGTGTTTTCGACTGAATGAGACTGCAATGAGGTCATGATTTCTCATTTTATTGTTATGATTTTAATGTTGTGGTGAGTTTTTTAATTGTGTCTGCAGTGTTGTAACTTCCATTGTGTTGCCTACAAAGAGCACCAGTGTACAGACTCTAGTTTTACTGTTCCTGCCCTTAAAAAGACACCAAATCAGCCTGTACTTCCTTAATATGCCCTTAAAACAAAGGTTTTAATAGGCTATCTGGTCACTGCTTGTTCTGCTTGATGAGCATTTTTGGTCTTCACATACATTTTTAACTCCATGGTGCTTTTAAAGATCTTTGACGTAAATAGTTAATCCGAACTACACAAAACCAGGTGTAACCTTTCTAAGTCAATGCAGGTAACTAATCTTGATACAGTTACCTGTGTATGTGTCTGCGTGTGTGTTGCCTGGAGACTGACAGACAGATGTCTCCTGTCATCAAGGGAAAGTGTCACTCTCCTCCTCTTCTGTCCGGTAACATGTAATTAACTGATATTCTATGCTGGGTGTGCTGCAGGGCAAGATGGGAGCTCGGCATCTCTCTCAGATTAAGGAAGAGTCGGACAGCAGAGAGCACAGGTAAGAGGAAAGCTGATTGGTTGAAAAGGAGACTACTCAAGTGGAGCTGAGTTCATCTTAATTATAATAAGAAGCTATTTAAAGGATGAGGCTGGTGATTCCCCACCAACCCCATCCAGAGACCAGCAGCACCAGTGAACATGGTGTCCTCACCGTCATGTGTGTGAGTCCAGACCCTGGTTCAACTTAGTGATCTGTGCCGTAGATCTCCAGTGCCCCCTCGCCCTGTGAGCCACATCGCTGCACTGGGGGCCAGGTTTCCTCCTCAGGAAACATGGGGTGCCGTCTGTTTCCAACAAACAGCTGCACAGGCTGAGAACAGCGTCGCTGTGCACAGAGTCTGCTCTGGGTGCACTGCTCCACTTTGACTCGGGTACAGCAGCTTTGTGTATGTATGGACAAATAAACAAGATTAGACTGAGAGACCAAACAAGATAAAGACTGTGCAAACATGAAAAAAGAGTGCGCATTAGAAAAATAAAAATTAAATACTTATAAATATAGAAATATACAGACACAGTTTAGATGCAGTTTTTCAGATCTATGCAAAAGTATATTTCCAGGTGCTGGTTGTTGTCCTGTTATACAGTCATGAGTCAGGTGTTCATCAGTGTGATGGCCTGAGGGAAAGAAACTGTCCCTGTGCCTGGTTGTCTTGGTGCACAGTGACCTGTAATGCCGTCCAGAGGGGAGGAGTTCAAACAGGTTGTGTCCAGGGTGTGAGGGGTCTGCAGTGATCCTCTCCGCCCTGCTTTTGACCCGTGAGGTGTACAGGTCCTCCATGGAGGGCAGGCTCACACCAATGACCTTTTCTCCAGTCCTGACTGTCCGCTGAAGTCTGTACTTGTCCTGTTTGGTTGCTGAGCCAAACCAGACAGTGATGGAGGTGCAGAGAACAGACTGGATGATTCCTCTGTAGAACTGTATCAGCAGCTCCTGGGGCAGGTTGAACTTCCTGAGCTGGAGCAGGAAGTACATCCTCTGCTGTGCCTTCTTGGTGATGGTCCTGATGGTGGACGTCCACTTCAGGTCCTGGGAGATAGTGGAGCCCAGGAACTTGAAAGACTTTACTGCTG